TAACTGTGTAAGTGGTCCATACACACCCAAAGTTTATCAGTGCCTTCTGAAATACCTTGCTCTGCTACTGCAGGGACATAGTATTGAATGGCTATGGAGCAAAACTGAACTGGTTTCAAATATTAACAAGATTTTAAAAATAATTATTAAACATCAAACCCAGAAAAAATGGATGTAATGTATCAATCAGCATCATTGATCAAATCAAATTAATTTGCTACAAAGAACTTGTGTGGGCTCAGGGTTCTGATGTTAACCAAAAAGCTTCCTGTAAAACTGTAAAATAATCTTGTTACTGAGAAAAATGAGCAGAAATAATTTCAGAAACTGAAACTGAATGTCACTGTGACTCAGATCAGYGGTGTCAAATGGTTTATTGAAGCTTTTAGGACTGTTACCATCTTTTTTATTCTGCATTTGTACACTGTCTAAAACAACAGGTCTCTTTCTGCCCTTGAGCCTCTCATCATTGCAATTTATCTCCAAAAAAAGATAGGAAAGAAGAAAAGAAAGAAAATGCCTTCTTTCAATGTAAGTAAAATGTATCGAAGATTAGGAATACTTTCAAAACCTTTGTTTTTTTATCTACAGGTACGGAAGTACTGTTAATTTATGTTAATTCCATTCATGCAAGGTACTCAAGAAAAATGATGTGTCTTTGTTACAGAAGGGCAAGATAAATCCTTTCATTTTCTGCACCACTTCCTTAAGGTTGGAAAAATTGCTGTAATTTAAGCTGCATCTTCACTGTGATGTGACTGTTACTATAGAAATCAATATTAACCTGAAGAATTTGATGGCTCACTTAAGAAGAGTATAGTGACAATTGAAATAAAGTTTTCATCTCTTCTTGCCTGTGAAGGACTGCACTGGAAAGCAATGTACAAACTAAATTGGTCTCAATTCTTCCAGACCTTCCTCATTTAGTGAAACTGAACAAAAGCAAATAATTTCTTTCTCTGTTCAAGGTTTGGCAAAGCATTCACATCAGATGAAGCTACTTATGCAGTCTTATATTTATTGGAAATACTAATACACATGATAAAGACAGATTAAAAAATTGTTACTGTTTCTTTTGTGTTTTCTTTGTGTTTGTTAAGGGTGTTGCATTTCCAAGTACTACCATATGTAATAAACAGATTTCTTCTTAAAAAGGTAATATTCTGTATGAAAATTCATGTAGGCCTGCCTTGTTTTGTATGGATATTTGAAATCAGAATCTGTTAAAATCTCTTGAGCCAAATTTACTTTGCAACAAATGGCAAAACTGCTTCCATATCAGTGATTTTGACCTTGGTGKCTAAGTCTAGCAGGAAAAAGACTAGAAGAGAAATTTCAGTGAATTACAGCGAGGTAATAGTGCGACACAGAAGGGCCCTCCTCTTAATCACCCACAGTTGTTTTCTCCTCTGATGCCTGAAATTCCCTATTTACACATTTTGAGATATGCCTTATTGATATATCTGGAGCCTGTTGCCCCTAGACATGACATTGCCTCTGTGCACGAGCTCTGCCAGGCTGACGCTGGTCTGTGTGGGACCAGATCAGTATCTCACCATTAGTAAAGCAACCTGGAAGTTGCTTTAACTTCCATAGGGAGCACAACAAAGATAAAGAACTCACACTTGGAGTGTCTTGGACTATTTTGCAGCTTAATATAGTTTTTCAGCCCTACAGGAGAATGCTGGTTTGGCAAGAGCRTGAGAGCAGCTCTAGCATGGTGTCAGAATTGCCAAAGGGAGGAGGTGGCAGCTACCCTGAGACAGTGCAAGGGCTGCGCCAAGAGGTAACGCTAAGAGCCCAAAGCTCAT